TTTAATGATTGAAATTCTTTTATATTTATTAAAGATAATTATCTTTTTTACTTAAGAAGTTATGATAAATTTCAACTATAAAAAGTAAAAAGATGAATAGTTAAGATTTTATATAAATGTCATATGTAAAACTTATATTTAAATGAATCTCTCTTCTATGTATATATAAATATGAGAAAAAAAGAAATTACGATATTTTTTTATTTTTTATTTAACAATAACCACATAATGTATTTAATAAAGTTATAGAAAAGGTTTAAGGCCAGCTAGTGACATGTGAATCCAATTCCTGTCCTATTAGCTTAAACTTTTGGGTTTGAGGTTTAAGTCCAATAGGTATGCATTGTGCGTTCCTTGTGAGCTACCACTGGCCTAGTTTTCCCACAAGAGCTAGGTAGGGGGGGTGCTTGTGTGGCCTAACTAGCTAAAGCATTCTACATCAAATAAAAGAGAGATCTTGCGGAGTGCAAAACAACCAACATTTAGACCAAGAATTTCTGATCCGGCCCATGTGAAGTAATGTTTTGAAAATCGAACCGAATCAGTCAGTTGAACCGGTACCCGGTGATACAAACTATTCGGTTGTATCTTTTAAATCGTTTGAATTGTAAATTGCTTGAAACCAATAAAAACCGTTGAAACCGCTCAAATTGATAAACCGTTTGATCGGACGGTTCAATAGTTGGGCATAAAATCTTCAAAATTTTGTCTCTTGTTGGACTTGAACTCACGAACCCAAAATTTTAATTCCAACTCTTTACCACTAGGACAATACTATTCTTTTGTTAGTGAGTGCTTGAAATTTTATTTTTCTAATAGAATTCTCAAAACTTTTAACTGAAGTATTGATGACACCCATGGGATTCGAACATTCATTCTCCATGATATGAAACAAATACTCAACCACTTGAAAGACAACATTTTATTTGTTATTTTTTGCTTTACAATATATTTATTTTATTTTTAAAACCATAATTATATTAAAATTTGTTCTTACCCAGGCTCGAACTTGTGATCTTTCACCTATCAAATAGGTCACTTACCACTACACCCAACTAACACCTTGTAAAATAATTTGTAGAATAATGTATTTATAATAGTTTGATCAACTCAGCAGTTTTACTTATTAAATTGATTGAATCGGTCAAATCATGAACCGAAAATGAAAACGGTTTGACCTCCGGTTCGAGTTTAAAAACATTGATGTGAAGAACCAAAAAGATTTTTCGGTTCACTTTTCTTTCATATTCTTTACTAATAATGATATATGTATCAAAATTTAAAATAAATGATATGGTACAAGTTATATCATTTAAAATATTAAAAAATACATTACACATTATTTAATAATTAATTTTTTAAAATTGTTTGAGATTTATAATATTATATGTATCAACTTATTCAATGATGATTTTAATCTTTGATCTTAAATTTTTACTTTCCCTATCATTACTCATTCTTTACCCATCTCAAACTAGACAAGCTTATTAATTTAAAAATAAACAAATACAAAGTTTATAAAAGTTGAGATTAAATTTTAAAAAATCTTGATCTTTTAAGTATTTCATAGATATATCTGTTAAACTTTGAATTTTACAAAATGATATTATATTTTGAATGCCATCATTTGTTTTGCTCATCAATTTCGGAATGCATACCATAAACATACAAACAGTTACAAATATTCAATTAAAGTACTAAAAAATGCTAATAAATCTTGCATGGGTCCAGAATCATGCTTAAGGTGTAGGTGTTTACCAAACGCCAACTAATTTTATTATTATTTTGTTACTTCTCACGTTAAAAAAAAAAAAAAAAACCATTTTTCTTTAATCATGCTTAAGGCCTCAAGGTATAATACCTTTGCTCAATATTTTTATTCTACAAAACAGAATTCTACTTAAGATGGAAAATAAAAAAATAACAAAATTATGTGAACTCTACTTATAAAATACATATGTTTAGTAACAAGTCACATGTACTTTTTTCTTAATTTGTCTAGTAATTTAATTTATCTTCCTAGGCTAATAATCCATCAAAATTTGGGAATGGTTTTTTACAACTAGTGTTTGATAATTGACAGAATTCAGAAAAGCGAAAAAGGCAAGATTGAATACGAAAC